GTGTGTGTGTGTAGAGGGGTATATTCCAGCAACCTAGATCCACCATAGGCCTCAGCAACTGCAAGCATGTGAATCTCATGACCCAAATAATTAACTATGCACCTCAGTTTTCCATCTGTGAAATGAGGATAGTGACAGTATTTACAACACAGGCTTGTTGTGAAGAGTGAAGAAGTTACTATACACAAAAAACTTGGCAACAGTGCCAGCCCCATAGTAGGCACTTCCACTTAATGAATTTAAGCTTGACTCTGGCTTCAGTCAGTGCTTCGTCCAAGATTGATTGAGTTTACCAGCTTTATAGGATTTGATAAATGTTGAAATAAGTGTTATCTCTAGTTATTCATCAGTGCATTAATTTCAGCCCAGTGGATAGTTCTCTCTGTAATCCAATGTGCTTACATCAGGTAATAATTGATAACATATCAGAACACTTTGTGGATTACTTTGTGTAGTTTTAGTTCCCTCTAACGTTGTGCAGAGGGTTTACATTCATAAACATCCGTTTAGCAAGATACAAGTTTATGGGTTTCTTTTTCAGCGTTGCCAATGTTATACAGCAGGCCGGGTGTCCTGTACCAGAATACATAAAAGGTTTTCAGAAACTACTAAGGTACAATCTTGAATTTACCTGGATCTTAGACTCTCTGTCTCTTTGTATATACACTCTTTTTTTTTTTTTTTCTTGCTCTGTTGCCCAGGCTGGAATGCAGTGGCATGATCACAGCTCACTATATAGCCTTGATCTCCAGGGCTCAAGTGATCCTCCTGCCTCAGTCCCCTGAGTAGCTGGGACTACAGGCATGCGTCACCATGCCTGGCTATAATATTTTTTAGATTTATGGGGAGTAGAAATGGGGTCTTGCTATGTTAACCAGGCTAATCTTGAACTCCTGGTCTCAAGTGATCCTATCTTATATCTTTGCATCCCAAAGTGCTAGGATTACAGGCATGAGTCACTGTGCCCAGCCCAAAACTGCTTGTGAATATTATATATTATTTCCTTGCCAGTTTTTTATCCTTTATTTTTTTTTTTTTAATTTTTTTTCCTTGAGATGAAGTCTCAGCTCATTGCAACCTCTGCCTTCCAGATTTAAGCAGTTCTCCTGCCTCAGCCTTTCAAGTGGCTAGAATTACAGGTGTGTGCCACTACGCCCAGCTAATCTTTGTATTTTTAGTAGAGACGGGGTTTCATCATGTTGGCCAGGCTGGTCTCAAACTCCTGACCTCAAGTGATCTGCCTGCCTCGGCCTCCTAAAGTGCTGGGATTATAGGCATGAGCTACTGTACCCAGCCTTATCCTTGAAATTTTAAGTATTCAGATTCTTTTAAAAGTATTCAGTATAAGCAAAATATGCTAAGAATTATTTTGGTTCATAAAACCAGTAAAAAACTTAATTGATCAAAATCAAACTCTGATGCTTGTTAACATAGGATATAAGGTTAGCACAGGACATATTTTTATCACAGTCAGTAGCTTTTTAAAAGGTGGATTGAATTTATCATCCCTTTGAGTTAGCTCTCTAAATGCTATTAGGTGACCTCATTTATTAAAGTAGTTAACAGCCCCACCTTAAACCAGTAAATGGTTTTAAAAAATGAATTTTGTGGCCGGATGCAGTAGCCCACGCCTGTAATCCCAGCATTTTGGGAGGTCGAGGTGGGCGGATCACCTGAGGTCGGGAGTTTGAGACCAGCCTGACCAACATGGAGAAACCCCATCTCTACTTAAAATACAAAAAAAAATTTATCTGGGCATAGCGGTGCATGCCTGTAATCCCAGCTACTCGGGAGGCTGAGGCAGGAGAATCGCCTGAACCCAGGAGGCAGAGGTTGCAGTGAGCCGAGATTCCACCATTGCACTCCAGCCTGGGCAACAAGAGCAAAACTCCGTCTCAAAGAAACAAAAAATGAATTTTGTGATCAAGGATCAAAACTAATTCTAGCTTTAACTCTTCTAATTGAAGTTGGACTTAATTTGTTTCCTCTTTTACTTTGTAACTTTCAGCAAACAAAAGAAAAAGATGATTAAGAAACCATTGGAAAGGGAGAGCATTAGTACAACTCCAAAATGTTTCTTAGAAAAAGCTAAGGATAAACGGTAAGTATGTGGTAAGAAAAATGGCTGTTTGACACCATCATAAAGTTATAGTAGGCATTATTTTTCCTTAGGGTAAATTTTTAGAAGTAAAATTGATACTACAGTCTGTTATAAAATGTGATAAAAATAATATATTTTAGGTTGCCTATAATTGGGGAATTTGTTTGTTTGTTTTTTTGTCGGTTTTTTTGGGATGGAGTCTCGCACTGTTGCCCAGGCTGGAGTGCAGTAGTGTGATCTCGGCTCACTGCAACCTCTGCCTCCCGGGTTCAAGCTATTCTACTGCCTCATCCTCCCAAATAGCTGGGATTACAGGCTCCTGCCCACCACACCCAGCTAATTTTTTTGTATTTTTATTAGACACGGAGTTTCACCATGTTGGTCAGGCTGACCTCAGGTGATCCACCCGCCTCAGCCTTCCAGAGTGCTGGGATTACAGGCGTGAGCCACCGTGCCCGGCCAGGAATTTGTTTTAATATTGGAATTTTTCTGTGTCAATATGTTGATGATCTGCTTTTTTCCATCTTGGAAAATATTATTTCAATTCCTTATAAATTAGAATTGTACTGCCCACCTTCTCTACACAACCCACATTAAGACATGCTACTAAGGCCACTAGTTAGGACCATTGACTTACATGAATCTAGTCTTCTTTGAAGCTCCTTCATATTCTGGGCAGGATTTCAATATGATCTCAGGCTTATGCAGATGCACATTGTAACAGCTGTAAAAAGTATTACTTAGGTAAATTTGTGCTAGCTTAGCTGAGTTTTATGAGGATATTAAAGCATAGTTTTTTAGCATACATATAGACTCCCTTATTTTGCCCAGTAATACTAGGAAGCTTTATATTTTGAAAAGGATAGGTCAAGATATTCTGAACAGTTATACTCTTTCCACTATTTAAGGAAAATGGCACTCTTCACATTGTACCAGAACCAGGTTATTATATACTGTAGTAGAATTGTTCAAGTCTATAATTTGTTGGGTTTTTTTTCCCCTGAGAGTGCTATCAGTGGCCTAGGATATTACCATTGTGAAATATGCTAATGCTTATATCCAGTTACCTCACATCTGTTCTATAGAAGTCATTAGGAAAAAACTGTTTCCATAACCAGTAGGCATTTACCAAGTTGTCCTGCAAGGTACTTGGTGGTGGTTGGATATACAAATGAATATAAAATGAGACTTCTTTCCTGAAGCTGCGGAAAGAAGATTCGTGTACATGACAGAAAATTAGAGACTGGTTTTTAAATAAAATAGGAGTTTAGAGAAGAGAAAGATGATTGTGAATTGGTGTGGTTACAGAAGTTTCAACAAAGTAGAACTGTCTTTAAGGATAGGTAAAATTTAGGCACGGAGAAGGGAACAAGATGAACAGAGGCATGAAAATTAGAGTGTACTTTGTAATAAGTGAACAAGAGTTCACATGTTGGTATTGACTATGAGGAATAAAGGTCAGTTCAAATATACAATGTATATAGTGTCCCAAAATTTTATCGTACTTTTGTTTTAATAACTTAGGAAGGAAAAGTGCTACAAACTGAAAAAAGTATATTTGAATGATCAATCCTTTTAATTCCATTTGTACTTAATTCAGTTTTGGGAATGCTTCACATTCACTTTTTTTTTTTTTTGAGATGGAGTCTTGCTCTGCCGCCCTGTCGCCCAGGCTGGAGTGCAGTGGCGCAAACTCCGCTCACTGCAACCTCCACCTCCCAGGTTCAAGTGATTCTCGTGCCTCAGCCTTCTAGGTAGCTGAGATTACAGGCACCCGCCACCATACCCGGCTAATTTTTGTATTTTTACTAGAGACAGGGTTTCACCATGTTGGCCAGGCTAGTCTCGAACTCTCGGCCTCATGTGATCTTCCACCTCAGCCTCCCAAAGTGCTGGGATTACAAGTGTGAGCCACTGCACCTGGCCAACATTTTTAAATTTTAATTTTCTGCCGCAGCACTTTCTGGGTGACACGTAGACCGGTGGATTGGTAGCGAACCTTGTTATGCTTGGCCGCTTTGGTCACCTAATCTGTCTTAATAGACCTGTTGGTGGGAGAGGAGTGGGTCACATCAGAACTGTTATGCATGCATTACTCTTTGGATGGTCTTAAAGCCAAGATAACAAATGCAGTCCTTTCAGGCACTGAGCAGCAACTGATGAAAGTTTTTACAAAGGTCAAAAATCAACTAGAACATAAGATGGTGACTATGTTGAATTTTAATAAGATCCATCAGTATTTTAAATAATTATACTTTAAATGCTGATTTGTTTTTGTTTTGAGATGGAATCTCTGTCGCTAGGCTGGAGTGCGGTGGCGCGATCTCGGCTCACTGCAACCTCTGCCTCCCGGGCTTAAGTGGTTCTCCTGCCTCCGCCTCCTGAGTAGCTGGGATTACAGGCATGTACCACCATGCCCAGCTAATTTTTGTATTTTTAGTAAAGACAGGATTTCACCATGTTGGCCAGGATGGTCGTGATCTCCTGGCCTTGTGATCTGCCTGCCTCCGCCTCCCAAAGTGTTGGGGTTACAGGCATGAGCCACTGCACCTGCCTTCCTCTGAGGTTATTAAAACTTAATTTGTACTAAGACTTCGAAGACACTTGATATATCAGCCCCCTGCTTCGGGTGCTTTGGTTGTGTCTCCATTTTCTTCGTGTGTAAAGGCCATACTACTTAACATAGCATACAAGCAAGACCTGTCATGATCCCACTCTGGCTTCCCTCTGCACTGTCGATGTTTCCTTCATGATCCCACCCATGCCGATAGGCTCAGCTCATACCTCTGTGCTCATAGCTCTTAAGGGCATATCTTCAGCCCCAACTTCCCCATTGAGCTACAGACCTGAATCCTTGTTGCTTAGTGGACCTCACTTCAGGCACCACAAACTTGGCCCCATGCAGTGAGTGGGGGAGGAACTGGATTTGGAGCCAGAAGAACTGGTTCTAATATCTACTTCCCTGTGTAGAGTTGGGATTTGGGATTATATGAGTTAGTACACACCAAAGAACTTTGTATTACTGTAATAATAGTTTGCAAACATTGATTATTTTCTCAAAACTTTTTTCCTTTGTCTGTTACCACTTAGTTAATGACATTCGACCTTCACTAGGCTATAGGATCAGAATGATAGGATTCATGTCTAACATGGATTACCAGTAAGTGATGACTGGCAAGTTACTCAACCACTCTGTGCCTCATTTTCCTCATCTGTAAACGGAGGATAATACTAGAATACTCCTCATAAGCTGTTAGGAAAATTACCTGAGTTAATACACGTAAAGCACTTAATAACAGTTTCTAGCACTTAGTAAGCACTGAATCAATGTGAACTCATTAGGTCAGGATCCGAATCTATCTGTCATAGCATGTAGTAATGTAGTTTACTGTGATGGTTTTGCCTCACTTAGGTGATTGTGATTTTCTAAAGGGCAGAGACCATGTCTAATGCATCTTTGTGTTCCTGGTGCCCGTTATTTGATACACAGTAGGTTTCAGTAAATGTTTATTAAACTGGTGGTAGGGTTATGGAAAGTAAATATATCTAGAATTTTTTATTCCGTTTTCCCTACTTTGCTCTTTACAGGAAAAAGGTCACTGGTCAGAACAGCAAGAAGAAAGTAGCTCTTGAAGACAAAAGTTAAAAACAGACTTTAAAAATACCATCCCAGAAATGTAATTTTATGATCCCAACATGAATGGTGTTTTCATGGAATACTTGAAGTCTTACAGTCACCTGTACCAAACATTTGAGATCAACTACAAGTACATGGGACTGGTGAAAAATGATCCTAAGCTATCAAGTCAATTTCAATTTGTAGGTGCCTTTTTTTTTTTTTTCTTTAGAGATGGGATCTTGCCATGTTGCCCAGGCTGCTCTTGAACTCCTGACCTCATGCAATCCTCCTGCCTCAGCCTCCCGAGTAGCTGAGGTTACAGGCACAAGCCGCTGCACCCAGCTCTGTAGGTGACTTTTAAATGATTATACAATGGAAATAACATTCATTGACATTGGTTTGAATCCAGAGAGATACTTCTTATAGAAGAACAAATGTTTATGCTAAAAATAACACCAAAATGTGGTAAACTCTTAAGGACTTTTCCCTTTGAGTGTGAAGGAAGGTGTGATGAATGCTGTGGAGAGGCATCTGGAACAGAAATTCAAAATAAAGCCTTGACATTAAATACCCCTTCCACTGCTCACTTTGTGGATGGTAGCATGGGCTGTCTACCAAGAAGAAACCTGCTGCTCTCTTAATTTTAGTATTTCCTAATTAGTTGATGGCCTTTTGTGTTGTGAACCACAACAAAGAGAGGCCTCTTTTGTGGCTGGTTATTCAAGTTCCCTGGGATTTTAAATTCTTTGGTCTATTAAGTATCCTTGTATTGGATACTTAATACCTTAGCCCTGCCATGATGTTGCACAAGATCATGATCGGCTTCTCTCTTTCTTCATTTTCCGTCGTTTAACCATATTCTTTCCTGTCTCTTTTTCCATTTAAGATTATTTTATTTGAATACTGATAAACATTTTATCCTGATAAGGAAGAATGTTCCTGTTACTTGATATACCTCTGTCTTCATTCTGTTACAGCTTATCTTTCCTTAGGTTGATGGCGCCTCATTTAGTAAGTAGATCTCTGCCTAAGCTAAAGGATTATGATCATATGGTGTTGGAGACTATTAACTATTAGATTTTTCTGAGATACGAGTTTTGTACAATGGAATGAAAAATTGACTTCATACACGTAAGACTGTTGCCTAAGAATGACTTGAATATTATCAGTACTACTACAGAACTATAATATACATTACCTTTTCTCAGCAGCATTTGAATTCAACTTATTTATTTCCTCTATTCGCAGCTTTTTCTAGAGTCAGAACAGGTGGACTTTGTTTTGAATATTTTAGATGGGACAAAAATTGTTCATCTTCAGAATTTATTTAATGATAGACCTGGTACAGGGTGTAAAAATACTTACAAGAATATGGTTTTTTTGTTTGTTCATGCAAACAGATCCTTTACCCAATATATATTCTGGAGGTAGGTATACTGGTGCAACCCATTTGCCAGCTGTGTGACTTTGAATAAGTTCTTAATTTCTCAGAGTTTCAGTGTTCTCATCTATGAAATTGTGTCTCAAATTGTAAGTACCTAGCACTGTACCTGACACATAGTAAACTCACAATAAATATTCCTTTAACACACATAGATTTTGTTAGAAAAACAGGCTTGATAACACAGTTCCTACCCTTACAATATAATGTTAGAGAGAAAGTAAAGGAGCAGATAGAGTCACACATCACTTAATGACAGAGATATGTTCTGAGAAACGCATCGTTAGGTGATTTTGTCATTGTGTAAACATCATGTTATATACTTCCACAAACCTAGATGGTATAGCCTACTGTACACCTAGGCTATGTGGTACAGTCTATCGCTCCTAGGCTACAGACTTGTGTAGCATGTTACTGTCTTGAATGCTATAGACTGTTGGAACATGTGGACTTTTATAAACACTGCCCACTTAATCTATACTAAATTTATTGAAAATATTTTTCTTGGCCAGGCGTGGTGGCTCACGCCTGTAATCCTAGCACTTTGGGAGGCCTAGGTGGGCAGATTGAGCTCAGGAGTTTGAGACCAGCCCAGGCAACATGGCAAAACCCCATCTCTACTAGAAAAATACCAAAAAAAGTTAGCCAGGTGTGGTAACATAATCCCAGCTACTTAGGAGTCTGAGGCAGGAGAATAGCTTGAACCTGTGAGGCAGAGGTTGCAGTAAGCCGAGATCGCGCTACTGCACTCCAGCCTGGGCAACAGGGCAAGACTCTCTTGAAAATATACACACACCCATATTTTATATATATATGTTATATATATATATAAAATATATATTTTTTCTTCAATAAAGTAACCTTAGCGTGCTATAACTTTTTTACTTTGTAAGAGGTTTTTTTTTTTTTTCTTGAGAAACAGTGTCTGTCGCCTAGTCTGGAGTTTAGTGGCACAATCATGGCTTACTGCAGCCTTGACCTCTTAGACTCAAGTGATCCTCAAACCTCAGCCTTCTGTATAGCTGGTACTATAGGTGTGGGCCACCAACACTCAGGTAATTTTTAAATTTTTTTTGTAGAGACGAGGTTTCGCTTGTTGTCCAGGTTGGGTTTTTTAGAAAAAAATTTTTTTTTTGAGGTGAAGTCTTCCTCTGTTGCTCAGGCTGGAGTGTGGTGGAATGATCTCGGCTCACTGCAACCTCTGACTCCTGGGTTCAAGTGATTCTCCTGCCTCAGCCTCCCGAGTAGCTGGGACTACAGGCATGCACCACCACACCCAGCTAATTTTTGTATTTTTGTAGAGACGGAGTTTCACCATGTTGGCCAGGCTGGTCTCAAACTCCCGACCTTGAGTGAGCCACTGCCTCTGGCCTTTTTAAACTTTTTGACTCTTGTAATAACACTTAGCCTAAAATGCAAACGTACAGCCGTAGAAAAATATTTTCTTTCTTTATACCCTTATTCTAGAAGCTTTTTTTCTATTAAGTTTTTTTTTGTTTTTACTATTATTTACTTTTAAACTTTTTCGTTAAAAACCATGGCACAAACACACACATTATGCTAGGCCTACAAAAGGTCAGGATCATCAGTCTCACTGACTTCCACCCCCACTTCTCATCCCACCATTGTATCTGCTGTCTGTGGCTGACCAAAACATCATCATGTAGCACATGACTAGTGTGACAAGTGCTGTTAGATGTAAGGCCATGATGCTAAAGCATCACAGGAGGGCATCTAACCCAGATTGGGGATGTCATGGAAGGCCGACATCCTGAGTTGAATCCTACAAATGTAAAAACCAATAGGTAAAGAAGAGGAACAAAAAGTATTCCAAGACAAACTGAGGTCACATCTATGATCCTTGTCTTTATTGTGTCTGTTTAAAGTATCTACAGTAACCTGCATCAACTTAGTCAATGTATTAATACTAAATTTAGCTCCTTCAAAGCAGTCTGAACTGCGTGCTACATAAATTTCAGCTTCACCCAGAGAAGGGAAGGAGTGAAATTAGTGAATAGACAGTTACAGCAAAAGACAGAAACAAAAAACAAAAATTGAATAGCTGGTTCTAGTGAATGAGCAAGGACTTTGGCGTCAAACTGGCCTGGATTTGAATCCTGATCCTATTTGCTTGTAGCTGTATGATCTGGACAAATGACGTTGTTTCTAACCTTGATTTTCTCATCTGTAAGATGCCAATTGTAACTCCTAAGGATACTGAGGATTTTTTAAAATGGGCTTACAGTTCCTGACCAGTGGTTTGTGCCTAATAAATAACTTATTACAAATTGTTACCCAGTAAAAACCCTGAGACAAGAGTGAAAAAATAAAGCTAATTAATCCATTACTTGCTAACAAGCAAACTACATGCTTGAGAAAAGTACTCAGCTTTTATGTTTTACTTCCAGACAGTAGTTTGATTAAAACAAACAAAAAAAATCACAGTCCAGGCATGTGGCTTACGGCTCACACCCTGGCTCTGGGAGGCCAAGGCGGGAGCATAGCTTGAACCCAGGAGTTTGAAACCAGCCTGGGCAACATAGATCCTATCTCTACAAAAAAAAATTGGCCCCGTGTGGTGGTGCATGCCTGTGGTCCCAGCTACTCAGGATGCTGAGGCAAGAAGATCGCTTGAGCCCGGGAGGTTGAGGCTGCTGTGAGCCGTGATCATGCCACTGCACTCCAGCCTGGACAACACAGCAAGACCCTGTCTCCAAAAAAAAAGAAAAAATTCAGTAAAAAAAATGCCGAAATAGCTTCAGAGTAGTTATGAACTGCTTCCCAAAAACCACTGTTTTGCACTTACCTGCAAGAATAGGAAAAACAAAGGGACTGTAAGGTGGCAGGATGGCAGAAACAAGAGTAGTACACCTTGGAGTTTTTTTTTAAATATGGGTTGGGTTTTTGTGCTTTGGTTGATTTAAAATAAAATTTAAATGCCTTCAGCG